CCTGACCCCCAACGGGGCCCCAGTTTTTTTTCCCAACCCCCTAAATTACCAAATGGATCAGCGGGGGTTTGGGAAACCGCTTCCCTTCCCCGGGAAGGGGGTCCGCCTCGGGGTGGAAATGGGAAAGGTTCCCTTCGAGGGAGGGAGGCAAGCTCAGGCCGGTTTTTTAGGGGGGGGGAGCCGGCCCCCCTTTGGAAACCCCCCCTGGTCAGTGTTTTTTTTCAAAGAGACCCCCCCTCCTGGTTTTTTTACCCGGGACCCTTTGGGGGGGGGGGCTCCCCAGGCAAAAACGGCCCGGGTTGGGCAGCCCCCGGTAAACTTTTTTTGCCCGTTAAAACCCCTGCCCCCCCCCAAAGGTTTGAAAAAAAGTTTTTTATTTCCCCCCCCCCCCCCCCCCCTCGCCCCCCCGCCCCCGCCCCCCCCCTCTCGAGCACCGCATCGCCCAACGCGACGTCGCTCGTCCAGTCGGAGGTCGCCACCCACAACCGCAGCACGTCCACGCCGCACGGCGAGCGCGCCTAATCTCAGCCGCAACCTCGTGAGGCTTTGGCCATCAACGAAGCACGCCCCACGCCTAAAGGCGCAGCGCGCCGCCGCTTCCTTCCGGGCCTGCCGGTGCTGTTTTTTGCTCTTGTGCCCGCCACCGCCGCCGCCGCCGCCACCATCACCGCCGCCGTCGCCGCTGCCGCCACCGCCGCCGCCGCCGTCGCCGCTGCCGCCGCCGCCGCCGCCGGTCGCCGCGGCAGCCGGTGCTGATGCGGCGGGCGGCGGGTCGATCAGCTCGGCAGGTGTGATGACGTTTCCGATCGACTTTGACATCTTGACGCCTGTCCGCAGCTACAGGTGTGAAGAGACGCCGTTCACAGCTGTCGCCCTCGGACCACATCTCGGCGCCCCGCTCGTCGACGACGAAACCGTGCGTGATGATGGCGCCGTAGGGGGCGCCCGCTCCGCCTCCGCCCGCTCCGCCTCCGCCCCCTCTGCCTCCGCCCCCTCCGCCTCCGCCTCCGCCCGCTCCGCCTCCGCCTCCGCCCGCTCCGCCTCCGCCTCCGCCCCGTCCGCCTCCCGCGCCGGCGTAGGTGAGGATCGACGACTGGAACCAGCCGCGGTGCTGGTCAGAGCCTAGCCGCGAAGAGCCGTGCGTCAGAGACCAGAGTCGAGCTGACGACGGCCGTCGTGCTGCTCGAGGCCCTCGAGGTAGAGGTCGGCGGGCGGGCAGCGGTCGGGCGAGAGGACGGCGGCCCTGCGCGGGATTAGCCGAGGTCAGCCGAAGTCAGCCGAGGTCAGCCGAGGTCAGCCGAAGTTAGACGTGGTTATTTGAAATGAGAGATGAGCCGAGTTAGCCGAGATGGCGGTCGGGCAAGAGGACGGCGGACCACGAGGCGCCAGAGTCGAACCAGACGTCGAGGGTGTCTCCGCCCTTGCGCCAGCTCGCCGCCTCGTGCCGCATCCTACTCGTTCCACGAACGGTTGACGTGGCAACGAGGAGCTCTCGCAGCCCGTGCGTAGTGCCGCGACCGAGGCGGCAGCAGCTCCGCCTCGCTCAGCCGCCACCAGCAGTCGGACCTAACGCATGTGGATTGCCTCATTGAGACCTCATTGGTGTCAACGAAGACTCCGCCATCAACGAAGACTCCGCAGTCGCACCCGTGCGTCGACACGAGCGACGCCACGTGCTCCACCGTCTCCTAAGAAGCCGCCATTCATCACTCACCACAACATGGACTGACCAGCAGGCGCCGCGTGCTCCACCCTCTCCTCGGTGAGCAGCGCTTCGCCCGTCTCCACGTGGTAGAAGGCCGGGAGCGGCACGCCCCACGACCGCTGCCGAGAAAGGCACCACTCCGTCCGGCCTCGCACAAACGCCTAGGTTGAATTGAGTCGTCGGGCAGTCCATTCGTAATGGCCACCACTCTGTCCGTCCTCGCACACACGCCTCGAGGCGCGCGCGGCCGGCGGGCGGCCGCATCTCCACCGCATGCAGCGCGGCGAGCGCCTCGCCGCGCAAGTCGCCCAGCCTCACAAACCACTGCGGCGTCGTGCGGAAGATGACCGGCGTCTTGGAGCGCCAATCGTACGGGTAGCGGTGCTCGTGCCGCGCAGCAGCGAGCAGGGAACCGCCCTCGCGAAGCGCAGTCAGCACCGCCTCGTTCCCGTCATCCAGCACGGACTCGCCGGCAAAGCCCGCCGCCTCCTCCGTCGCGGCAGTGAAGCAGCCCTTCTCATCGACAGGGCAAGCGGCGGCCAGGCCGTGCGCGACGCCGACCGCAAAGTCCTCTGGCCCATGCCCCGGCGCCGTGTGGACCAGCCCGGTGCCCGCGTCGTCCGTCACGTGCTCCGCATGCAAAACTGGCACCGGACGCGCCGAGAGCGGGTGCGCACAGTGTCGGCCGATCAGCGCGGCGCCGGGAAGCGTCGCTGCCACCACTAGCGGTGTGCCGAGCGCCTCGCTTAGAGCGTCGACGAGCGAAGCCGCGACCACGAGCCGCGCGCCGTGGGGGAGGGGCGAGGCGTTGAGGTTTGGGGGGGAGTCGCCAGGCTGAAGCTCGGGCTTGCCAGACTGCAGCTCGGACTTGAGTCGCAGCAAGGCGGCCACCCCCGCCTCCACCTCCGCCTTGCTGCCTCGCCCTTCCTTGAGCGCAGCCTTGGCCGCTCGCACGACCTCGCCTTGCGCCCGCACACGCTCCTCGACCTCCGCCGCCGCTGGCAGTGCTGGCTCGGAGGGGAGCTGGGAGGGCTGGACGTCGCTTGCTTCGACGACCGCATACGTCAGGTCCTCGCGCACGCAGACGGCTTGGTTGGCCGGGATGGTCCACGGCGTCGTTGTCCAGACCACGACCGCCGCGCCCTCGAGCGCGCTCCCGCCGTCGAACGGGTCGAAGTCGGCGGCGGCGGCGGCGGCGGGCGGCCCCTCCAGCAGCGGGAAAGCGACGTGGGCGGCGGTGGAGACGTGCCGGTCGGCATACTCTAGCTCGGCCTCGGCCAGTGCGGTCCGCGAGGCGGGGGACCAGTGGACGGGCCTCTCGCCCCGGAAGAGGAGGCCGCGTCGCAGCATCGCCTGCAGCACGCCCAGCTGCGCCGCCTCGTACTCTGGCGCCATCGTCGTGTACGGCGCCTCCCAGTCTCCGAGCACGCCCCACCTGACTCGTCAATTCAGATCACGTCTTTCACTGATGGGCCAAACTCAGCCTCCCGGTCTCCGAGCACGCCCCACCGCACAAACGACTCCCTCTGCGCAGCGACGGCCTCGCGCGCGCACTCGGCCGCCCGCGCGCGCAGCGCGAGCGGCGAGAGGCTCTCGGCCTCGCCCGCCTGCGAGTTCGCAGACACGTCTCGGACATGCCTCGGACATGTCTTGGACACGTCGCGTGCCGAGTGGGGGGGCTCCAGCCGCGCCGGCTGGATGGAAACCGACACGGCCGCTTCGGGTGAGGCTAAGGGTGATTGGGAGGGTGGCAGATTGATGATATCATATAGGGCAAGGGCGAGGGCGGCGCCTGAATGGCCTTCATCTCTATCGGAAGCCCGTGGCAGTCCCAGCCCGGACGAAAGTGGACGCGGTGGCCGGCGAGCAGCGCCGCGCGGTTGATGATGTCCTTGAGCGCCTTGTTGAGGAAGTGGCCCATGTGCAGGTCGCCGTTGGCGTACGGCGGCCCGTCGTGAAGCACAAACGCGTCTGCGCCACCGCGCTGCGCCGCCTGACGCTCGTAGTGATCCACCGCCAGCTGCCGCGCGAGCCGCGGCTCCGTCTCTGCCACCTTGGCGTGGAGCGAGAAGCTCGTCTTTGGCAGGTTGAGCGACGCCTTGAGCCTGGCCTTGGTCGTGCAGCTGCGAAGCAGCGGGCGTAGAGCGGCTGTGGCGGTGCGACGGCAGTGGCGTGCTGCCGGCGGCTGACAGCACCGCATGCGTGGACGCTCAGTAGAGAACTCGAGACTGCGCACGAGCTGTAGTCGAGAAAGGCGTCCGTCGCGTATGGCTGCCTCAGCGTAGAGGGCCGTGTGTAGCCGAAATCGGTTCACACCTGCTCTTGCGGTGTGAACACAAAGGATTCGCTGTATCAACTCAGCTGCTCCGCTTACACTTACCTGTGAAGTGTGAACAGCGGATTTTGAATCAGCGTTCTCCTTGAACGATATCGGTGTCGAAACACCGCTCTGACAGCGCTCACAGCTGCCCTCTTTTTGGTAGATAAATATCCATATCCGGCGAAAAATCGCGCCGGAGGGCTGGCCGCCGTAGCCGGCCCCCGGCACTGCAAACGCGTCCTGTGCTTCGCGTTGATGATCGACGCTGCTGCGGTATCACGAGCAGCACATGCGGACGGCCAGAGAAGGACCCTCTTGGCGAGGCTCTTCCTCGTCGCTTGTGCTGCGCTGTGCGTGTGGATTCAGAGCGGAGCAGGAGGAGAGAGCGGAGCCAGCAATCTTGCCTGGCCGGCCACAATGTGGGGAAACCTCTCACATTACCGAGTGGGTTCTAGACCACTGGGCACAGACGCTGCTCTGGTCGCTGAGGGCAGGCGCGCCTACGCGCACCTGCAGAGCTACCGTAGCGATGCTGACGGCTCCGATCTCAAGAGCATTGCAGCACGCTCGGCCGCAACAAGCAAGGTAACTGATCCGAATCCTGCGGAGACTTTTCCTTCGCCGCCTCCCGCCCTGGCGCCGCTCGGTCACGACCATGGCGAATACTATCGCAGGTGGTCTGTCGACCGCCTCAGAAAGGCTGAGACGGACTTGCCGCCCCACCTGCTCGAGAAGGCGCTGGCGGAGCTCGAGGCGACGCGCACAGTACTGTGCAGAAGCGGCATCGTTAGCATGTCTCCTCACGCGCATGGTTGTGAATAGGCCAAGCGCGACGCGCAGAAGCGCAAGTGCGATGCGGCGCTCCATTACCCGAGGGTCTACTTTGCCGGAGACCTCATCGCGTACAAGGCGGCGTGCAAGGCGAAGTGGCAGGCGCAGTGGGAGTTCCAGGTGGACCCCGAGGCGGTGCTAATCTCGTTCGTCGGCCGGATGACCAACGAAAAGGGCATCGACCTCATCGCCGACCTCGTGCCCGACCTCATCGGCAAGTACCCACGGTTCCAGATGGTAATCTCGGGATACCGGGATCCCATAGTTGTTTTATGAGCTGACTATAGTCGATTTTTCAGAGTGTTTTGAAGACCCGCTCGCAATCCTAGAAGTCGTAGGACTGTGGGCGGTGTCGCTCGCAATCGGCGATTGCTAGGATTGTGAGCCAAGCTGCTCGCAACCCTAGAGTTTGCTCGGATTGTGAGCGCGCTGGTAGTGGTTGTAAGCGTCACCAGTCACCTTGTGAGCGGAGCTGCTCTTAGTCCTAGAAGATGTAGGATTGCGAGCGTGGGTGCTCACAATCGCACAGAGATGCTACGATTGCGAGGAGTCAATCCTTCGACTTCTAGGATTGAGAGCGAGGCTGCTCTCAATCCTAGCCTGGTAGAAAAGAAGGTTCACCGGCACAGGCGCGTGAGTTCGAACTTTTTTGGAACAGTGCCCGCCGCCCGCCCCTTCTCGCCCCTCGCGGCTATACACCCATCGACCGCTCGCTCACACAGACGCACAACCCGAACCTACTCGCACGCTGCACATGAAGAAGAAACGATACTTGCGCGTCGCGGACCCGAGCGTCGAGTGCGTCCCCGACAGCGATGTTGCTGGTGGCAGCGCACCACCCTCGCCCACCCCGCCCAGTCCTCGGCCATCCCTCCGACGGCTCGGTGTCGTTGGCGCTGTGGTGATCCTGGCAACAATCCTGACGGTTGCGCTGGTTGAGGCCGTCTCCCCACTCTGGGCCGCGCGGCCGCCGCCGCCAGCACCGCCGCCACCCTCGCCGCCGCCGCCTTCGCCGCCGCCGTCCGCGCCGCCGTCGCCACCGATATGCCTCTGGGCCGACGGCCTCGTCAATCTGCGCACCCTGCATCCGCCACTCTGGTGCAGCAACCGCTCCAATGACAAGGCCGGCTGCCTGCGATCCTATGTCTCCTATGCCACCGCCGGCAGCGCAGTCGCCTACGCTCCGTGCACGTGGCAGGGCAGCAGTACGTGCCGGGCTGCGTCAGAGCGGTGGGAGTGTCCCTTTCCGGCCCAGCCGCCGCCGCCGCCGCCGCCCGAGCCGCCGCCGCCGCCGCCGCCAAATGTGCCGCCCGAGAGGCTGTGGCGCGGCAGCGCCGCCTTGCTCAACGCTCGGTTCACGGGCGCGCAGCGGCGGAATGCGAGCTGGCAGCTGGAGAACGCCGGGGTGGTGCTGACGCAGTTTGACGGCCGCTTTAGCTCGGCCCTACCGTGGAGCCCGTGCCCGAAGCCTCTGGCGCGGGAGGAGGTGGACCGTACGTGGCCCTCCTACTGCCGAGACGGGGAGAGTTTTCAGGACCGTCGCATCTCTGGGTCCATCATTGGGCTACCGATGAGGCGCAACCACCTACCGATCCCAATCTTCAACTTGGGCGCCGGCGTAGTGCTGCGACCGGGCGGCTACACCGGCGTCCGCTGCATGTATGGCGTTGACGGTGACATCCACACCTTCCGAGACGCGTGTGGCGACCCGTGCCCGGGCTGCGACCTGCACACAAAGTGCCTGCGCTCGGATGAGTTCGCGCGGTGCGTCTGCGGGTTCGGGAAGTGCGGCGGGCACGTCTACCCGTGGGGACCGGGAGAGCTCGACGTGGTTCTGCGGTTGCACGCCAAGAGCTGGTCGTTTGGGTACGGCGGGATGGGATCCTTTTCGGGGTACAATGAGGCCGTGCTCGACCCCGACTTGTGGATCGAACACCTCCCCGCCTCCATCGAGGCGGTCTTCTTTGTCGATCCGGCCGACCCGGTGTGCGACATCAAGCAGGGCAAGCGGCAGATTGGCACGTGCGTCGAGTCAGAGGCGCAGGCGCGCCGCATCCACGGGCAGATGCTGCAGCACTACAACTTGCGGCGGTCCGATGTGCGTGCGCCGGCGCTCGTGGGCCTACGCCCGAGCAACTGGGACGTGCCGTTTCGGGATGCCTGAGTGTGACGGCCAGTGAGAGACCCTCTGCTCTCCTTCCCGCCGCGTTTTTACTTTGTGCTGTGGGGGCCACGCGTGCGTGGACAGGTGGACTGCGACTGTCGGGCCGGGTGAGGGTCCGCAGCGTCCTAATCTAAAATCTGAGGATTCAGGATAGAGGCAACGCTTCAGTGAGGCCAAAGTGAGTTTATGGATGTGTGAGAACAGGACGGGACACGAGGAGTCACGCGGACCGACTCGTCGGTGACTCTGCGCTGCACGCCGTTTCAGAATTTTTCTCAGCGTGAGCGAGACGTGGAAGAGTGCCACCGTCGGGTAGGACGGGTCGGCCCGGAGTATCAGAGTAGCCGTCGTGGTCGCGGCGAGCAGCGCCGGCCACTCCGGCGCCGCGTCGGCAATGTGGGAGCCATGTCCACCGCCACTTCGCGGTCGCAGCGCTGTTGTCGCCCGAAACGCCGCATGTACCTCTGGCGGGCCAAAGATCGACTCGCATGTCGATTTCGACTTGACGGGCGCATGCAGGCATCACGTCTCCATGCGCCCGTCAAGTCGGAGCCAGTCTACAGCGACCACAGCGCTTGCAGGTTTGATCTCTCGGTGGGTGGGGGGCCGAGCCCCTCGGGGTGGCGGGCGGGCGGGCGTTTTGAAAAGCAGAAAACAGAAAACATAGGGCGGCCAGGGCCCCACTACGATTAGACACACGCACCTGGCTCAGTCAGTGCTGGGGAGAAGGGGGCGGGGGGGGGGGGGGGAGCCGAGGGGGCGACGTCCCGACACGGCAGGTTGCAGCTGACCCCGGGAGAGAGAGAGAACAGCGATGGCAGCCCCCAATGACCGTAGACAGAAATGACGAGCCGACAGCGCGATGCAGCGGCAGCGAAGGCGAGGAGGGCCCGCGCTGCAGAGCTCCGCCACTGGTTGGGTAGTAGTCTAAGTTCTGAGCCTCGAGGCTGAGCGGGTCTAAGTGTGACTAGTCACGCTGGGGTGCTTACGCGGTCTAAGATCAGCGAGAGCCTCTTACATCGGCTAAGTCGGCCGTGGCACAGCCTGGGGCCAAGAGGCTCCCACCGTGATCAACGATACGGCGCTAGCCCCCAAATTTTCTTCGCCTGCGGCGGGCGCCTTCTAATCCGGATCGATCCTCCTCATGCCTCAGCAATCGCCGCCTCAGCATCCTCCTCTTCCGATTCTCGTTGCTCTTCTTGAGCGCAATCTCTAGCCAAACATTTCTCACATAAATAGCCTCAAGCTCAAACAAACGCATGTCAGAGAAGCCTGTGTATGCTGGTCCTCTTTGAACGATCCGCGCGTGAGGTAGATCTAGCATAGGGCCTTGTTGGCAGCAGCCAGCTTGTTGCGCTGCTTCGCGTTGCGATGAGCTGATTGGGATCGCACAAGTGCATGCCAAGCACCGCCACGATCTTGAAGCAGAACACATCGCAACCGCATCGTCCGCACTGCCATCGGCATGCCGCGCCCGCCGCTTCGCCGCAGCCGCCTTAAGGCACGCATAGCGGCAGCACATGGTACGGTGCGCGTACTTGAGCAGGAGTTGCGCGCCGCAAGTAGCGCACTGGCCCTGGGACAAGGCGATATGGCGTCGTGCGCGGCATACGTTGGTCGGGACGCGTCCAGGTATTTTTCGGGAAACCTGGACTTTTGCAGGTATACCCGGGTTTTACCCGGATTTGGCCTTGTGCCGTCTAAGTTCATGGCCCCCGACCATACAGCGTCTAAGTCCGAGCCCGGCTCCGTGCGGGGGCTAAGTTGAGCGCTTGCTCGCTGCAGAGGCTAAGTGTAGAGCGACCCTCTAGCCCTACTACCCAACCATTGCTCCGCCGGGCGGCAGCAGAGACATCGGCGGACGGGGGAGCACGCGGGACACGTCGGCATAGGAGCCAGGGGGGTGGGCTGGGAGAGTTGAGTCAGATGCAACAGCACCGTCTCGGCAGCGAGGCCCATGATGGCGACGGGTCTAGGGGGCCCGACCCTCTCAGACGCGGCGGGCGGGCGCGCCCACTCGCACCGAGAGATCGGAAGGAAAACGCTCTCGGCCCGTGCGCGTATGTGGGTTCGAGAACAAGCGCTTTTTTTCATAGTTTGATCATATGCACACACACCCTGCCCCCCCGCCTGAAAAAGCACCCCACGTACACATACGGAGCTCTCACACGCATCTCGCTCCCCAACACTCGCACCCGCCCACCCCCTTCCCCGCGCGAAAAAAGAGATCCGCCCCCCCTCCGCAATTGCATGCAACCGCAGACACACGCTGCGTCGCGCAGAAGCGCCGCTCCGGCGGCCAGCCACAGCCTCCCGCATCACAAGCCACACACCGCACCCCGCCCTCCCCCTCTTCTCTGCCCTCCGGTCCCTCCCCTCCCCCCTCCCTCCTCCTCCTCCCCCCTCCCTCATCCTCCTCAGCCTTCCCTCACTCCTCCTCCTCCCCTCACTCCTCCTCCTCCGCCTCCGGAGACGCCCCCCCCTTTGGGCGGTACCCCTTGAGGTTGAAGCCGAACGCCTACGGCACGCGTCAGCAACGTGTCCAGGACATGTCCACCTCCAGAGCGGACCTTGAGGTCGCAAGCCGGACGCCTCCAGCGCCTCCAGCGCCGCATGCGACACCGCGGCCGCGTCCGACGCAGCAACCGACAGCACCGCCGCCGCCGCGCCCCAGTTGGGCACGTTGAGCCTCGCCAGCCTCGCCTGCAGGGGGGGGGGCGGGGGGGAGGAAACGGAGGGTCGCGCCGTCGTGCCTCTGTGCGAACAGCTCTCGGCTAGCTCTCGGCGAGACGTCTCGGCCAAGGCATGGAATCTGCCAGATCTTCGCCAGATCTCCGCCAGATCTCCGCCAGATCTCCGCCAGATCTCGTGCGTTCACCCCGGCCATCTCGACGCCATCTCTCTCGGCGATCTCCCGGCGACCTCGCGGCGATCCCGCGGCGATCTCTCGGCGATCTCTCGGCGATCTCTCGGCGATCTCCCCGCCTGCGAGTCCTCCTCCTGCTCCGAGAGGATGCGGCACGAGACGTCGTCGCCAGAGTCGCACTGCGCAGACAGCGCCGCCATCCCCGCCGCGTCGGAAGCGGCCTGCTCACACCACACGCCGTGAAGAGACGCCGTTCACAGCGAGAGCGCCTCCCCTCCCCGCTTCGTCGGAGGCGGCCTCGGAGAGCGCCACCGCAGCCCTGCCCCACATCGGAACGTCGAGCGACTTGAGCCAGCGCTGCTTCGCCGCGACGTCGTCGAGGCTCTCGGCGGGCGCGCGCGCAGTCATCGCCGCCTCGGACACGGCCGAGACTACCTCCACCTCGCCGAGGGAGTCGACCTGGGGGGGGGGGGGAGGGTGTGTGGGAAGACTTCTCCACACGCAGACACACTCACACACACACGAGGTGGTGGGGCAAGGGCCGGGCAGCCCTCGCGGCGCCACGTCTAAAAGACAGGAGCCCCACGGCACTCAACGTGCAAGGCCCGGCGTGCGTGCGCGTGCGCGTGCGTGCGTGCGTGCGTGCGTGCGTGCGTGCGTGCGTGCGTGTGTGTGTGTGTGTGTGTGTGTGTGTGTGTGTGTGTGTGTGTGTGTGTGTGTGTGTGTCCGTGTGTATGTGTATATGTGAGTGTCTGTGAGCCGACCTCGCCGCCCGCAAGCCTAGCCAGCCAGCTCGGTGCCGCCCCCTCCGCCGCATCGCCCTCCGCCCCCTTCTCCGTCTCGCGCTCCTCCGCCACCGCCGCCGCCCACGCCTCCGCCGCCGCGGCGCGCGCCTCCGCCTCGACCACCTGATCAGTTCACAGCTGCAGGTGTGAAGAGACGCTGTTCACAGCCTCCGCCTCGACCACCCCAGCAGCTCGACACAGACACACACGTGTGTGCTGTGAAGTCTACATCGCTTCACGTCTCCCCACATGCGCATGTGCATGCGCATGCACACATCTCCCCACATCTCCCCGCACCTGGTCTTGAGCAGCTACATCTCCCCGCATCTCCCCGCATCTCCCCACATCTCCCCGCACCTGGTCTTGAGCAGCTACATCTCCCCGCATCTCCCCGCATCTCCCCGCATCTCCCCGCACCTGGTCTTGAGCAGCTACATCTCCCCGCATCTCCCCGCATCTCCCCGCATCTCCCCGCACCTGGTCTTGAGCAGCTACATCTCCCCGCATCTCCCCGCATCTCCCCACATCTCCCCGCACCTGGTCCTTGAGCAGCTCCGCCGCCGCAGCCTTTGCCTCCGCCGCGGCGACGCGTTGTGCGAGCAGCGCGTTCTCGTGCGCAGCCAGGTTGTTCATCCACTGCTGCACCTGATCTCGGCGAATCTCGGCTGATCTCGGCTGATCTCGCGTGATCGCGGCGAGAGCTGCTCCTCCACTGCCGCACCGCCGACGGCTGCAGCGACGCCGCCATGTCCATGCCAACCTAGAGGCACGTGCGCCGGAGGAGAGGTGAGAGGCACCTCCTCGCAGAGGAACGCCGCAATCCACACGCCAACCGGCTCACGGCTCGAGTCCCTGCGCGGAGCAGGCGCCGCCGCCGCCCCCGCCGCCGCCCCTCCTCCTCCGCCTCCGCCTCCGCCGCCGCCGCCGCCGCCTCCGCCCGCCGAGCTCGGAGCCGGGCGGCCGTAGTGCGGCGGAGGCATTGCGGTTCCGTAGTTTGGAGGCGGCATCACCCCGCTCCTCCCTCGCTCGCGCGGGTGGGTGGCGGCGGCCGCGCACTTCTCGGCCGGCTCGACGACTCCGCTACCTTGCAGTGTCAGCACACCCCGGGGGTCGGGGGCGCGAGTACGGTCAGGGGCGGGGGCGGGAGAGGAAAGTACAGCAAACAGCGGGATGCGGTCGAGAGCACGCGCCCTCTCTCTCGCGCTAGTCGGAAGACGCGGGTGCGTGTGCTCTAGGCTCCGATGAGGCTGCGCCGCCTGCGCGGCCTCGCTGCCGGCCGCCTCCGCCGGCGCGGTCCGACGGGGCCGCCGCCGGCTCTTGCTGCGGCCGCCCCCTCTGCCACGGCTGTTGCTGTTGCTGTTGCTGTTGCTGCTGCTGTTGCTGCTGCTGTTGCTGCTGCTGTTGCTGCTGCTGTTGCTGCTGCTGCCGCTGCTCCGTCGCTCGGCGCATCGGGTCCATCCGCTCGCCTGAGCTCGCGCCAACCTCGGTGAGACCACCTCGGTGAGACCTCCCGCGTGATCCAGCGTGGGCGCAGGGACGAACCCCCCCCCCA